CCATAACAAGGGTGGGGGGGAATCCTATGTTTGATGTAAGTGCAATTGTGGCTTTATTCCAGTCACTTCTTAATTTATATCTCAAATTCAGTTTATCTTCGTGCCCTGGTGACTAAACAAAAGAGCTGCATGCACTTGACTGTTTGAACAAACTGTCTCTGGGTGTGGGAAACGAGAGGAAAAATGATTTAGGGATGTGGGAGGGAAATCCAGAGCATCGAGTGAGCAGCACCATCTCAGTTGTTTTAAATGGGAGGTAATCTGCACTTTGGGTTCAGCATGTGTGTATGTATCATTTCACCCTCTGAATGAGGTTGAATATTTAGTTTTTCCTTTGCAACAAGCATCCACCCTAGGGAAAAGGGGCCTTGGTTTATTACCGTTAAAAAAATCACTTAAAACACCCAAAATTTGTCTCTGGTCTTGAAATGTTGTGTCATCTCAAGCCAATAGACTTTGTGTGCAGGCTTCATTGTTGCTGGTGGATGTTAAGATGTGGGACCTGATTTGCTCTGCTGCATCCTGTTAGGACAGTTTAAGACTGTGCACTCCAACCCATCCTCTCACTGGATCCCCTCATTTTAGCTCAGCTGTAGGTAAAGGAGAGTTTGAGGCTGTAGACCTTTAGTGCTGAGGTCCTGAGGCTCTTTAAGCAAAAGATAACTTGAATACGACCCTTCATTATTCCAAAAATAATATACCAGTTTGGTTCCTGCAGCAGGAGTTTTCTTCCCCACAGTTGAGCACATCTCCCCAACACATGGCGAGGAGGATGCTTGTGTGCATCCCTGCTTGGAAAGGCTGTGTGGTATAAGGAAAACAGTTTATTGCTTGTTCTGTAACTTGAAAGCAACTGGATCACGTATTGAACTGCAAAGAGCTTTTCCCAGCTAACAACCAGAGGGTTGCATTCTGGGTGGCTTTTTTACTAACATAAAACATAGCCCAGGATTTCAGAGAGCTGTTGGGGCACTTGGGCCAAATTTGAAATGAATCTAGATAATGGTGGGGGTTTTCTTTGTTTTATTTGGAGAACTTCTGTAGGCTGTAGGTGCTGCGTGTTTCCAATCTGCATCTGGTATTTGCTTTGAATCTTTGGGTCCGTTGGAATCCAAAGCCAAAAAGGTTCACGCAAAGTGTTGTGACCCAAAACTGTTTAATCTTAGATCTGTGGTCTCGGAGCCTGCAGCCCAACTTGAATACCTGATGAGTATCAGCTGAGCAAGCATCGCAGAAACTGACTTCTGCCCGTGACCCATAAACCTTTTCCCTAGGGAACAAGAAAGTAAATTGGCCTTTGTGCAGGAACAGCCGGCTAGACCGGGGCCGTGGTTTCTTCGTGCTCAATACCAGACCCTGTGGTACACTGCTGCAAAGTTCTCTGCCTTCTAAGTGAAGCCATATGAAACAAAACAATTCCCCTTTTCTGAGAGTGCCTGAACTAACCAATTTGTTCAAGCTATTCTTCTGGTTGGTTCGCTTTTAACTGAAGGAACACCGATGTATTGAAGGCAACTTGAAAAACACCAAAAGGGAAGAAGGGGAAACAGTATCTAAACCGTTTCAAGCTCACCAAAAAAAGAGTGCAAGCATGTGAGCAGAGAGACCCTCCATAATGGTGTAACACTTAATCCCACGATGAGTTAGATATGAGTTCATCTAGAAAACAAGGCCCTAAAATTAAGCTCCACAGTTATGACTGAGGTCACAACCTGATCAGCTCAATGTGCCGTGCTTGCAAGGGAAAGAAATCCTTAAAGATATCTGGTAAGATAGGTCTTCATCTCGCTTTGCAAAGGGCTTTTACTGGAATGGTGTTCCCAACTACTTTTTTGTATCAATGTACCTAAAAAAGAGTCCTTGAGAACCTCAGCAGCACATGGCGTGAAGAAAGAGGTTTATGGTTAGTATGTCTGGATATGTGCTCTTGGTGGGAAAGGGTGATGTGTAGGAGAAGTGTAAGTGAAAAGATAACACAAGCCTGGTACCATGAGTACTTGGGTTAAAAATGTGCTTCACTAGCTCAACATTTAAAAAGCATTGGCTGTCTTCAGTGAGGTTTTGCTGGGCTGTGGTACCAGGAACTCCTTCTTGTTGGCATTTTAAACTCATTTTAACCTTGGTGATCATTGATTCTTATGCCCAACAGTAAGGCAGGAAGCAATATGCCCATCAAGCTGAAGGGACAGGAGGCAGCAATATAGCCTCCCAGGGCTGCGGACCATGAGTCAAGGACCAGATTTGATCTAATTACAAGGGGTAGGAAGATGCTAAGCACATAACACATAGTGCTATAGACGTATTTTCTTGGTATTGATGGATTATGGTGTTCACCAAGCAACCTGATTTGCAGTGACTCAATTTGCAAGGGGTAAATTAATTGAAACAAGGGCAACTTACTGTACTGTAGACAAGTACATGGGTTGGGTTTTGACAATATTTAATGTGAACTATAAAGTGATGCTGATTTTTAGTATTTCATTTATTTGCCCACAGTAGGTGACATAGCTGTTCTGGGTAGCAGCCACTGAAGTCAAATGAGTCTATTTACTGTGAACTTTTTACCTTGTTTCTAAGTAGCTATTCTTTAGATGCACCCATCAGCTCTTCCTCATAATGTTTCCAAACAGCAATATATTTCATTCTCTTCCTTTGTCTTCGGGTTAGTAAATCTATCATCTTACTGGAAAGTTTACGGTGCTGTCACAGATTGCACATTATGCCCTGGATTAAGGCTGTTTAGCTTGAACGTGACAAGTTGTTTAAAGACAGACTGGTTTATGCTTTGTATTAATTCCCCCCTCCAAAACTGTCTTCCATAACAATGTAAATAAAGAACTCCCAGAACTGATACAGCAGAGCTGGCATGGTTAGAAGGAAAGGCTCAGCTATTACTCAATTGACATTAATGCAACATAAATCTTAATTATATTGAACAAGCATCAAACTGCAAGGTTTTTAGGAGATGGAGTCATTAGATAACAGAGGACAGTGAACATTTATCTTCAAACGAATTCCCAGCCCTCCTTAATTTCCTTTGTAGTTGGAAAGCGGTTGGAAACAAGAGGTGTAATATGGATTCGCTTTATGCCTGGCTCTTTTAGCAGTATCCAAAGTTAACATGGGTTAGAAATTGCTGCAATAACAATTTCCTATTGTGCAGACCATGGACTTCACCACATCTGCACAGGACAAAGTTGCAGATGGTGTTAACAGCTCCTAGGTTACTCCTGCATGCTGTCCTCTTGCTGTGAGGAGCCAGGAGGTCTCTGTCCTACTCACTCACATCTACATCACAGGACTGTGATGTGCAAGTCCTGCCCGAAGTGGATACTGGGTGTGATGTTCTTCCTTTGAATCCCCACCCACTGGAATTTTCTCTCCTCGGAGACATTTCCATTTTCAGCTGCTGAATGGCAGCAGGATTTGAGATGCTGCTCCCAAAATACTGTTGCTTTCAGAGAAAAACAACAAATAAAACAGATGAGAAAGGGATTTTAGTTATTTCCCTCTCTCAACTTAGGTTTATCTCACACTTGCCACAGGAGTGCTATGCTTGTAAACCATGTGCTGCATCGGTCTTGCAAATTTCCTTGAAGACTGTAGGGAAAGAATTAAAATAGAATCATAGAATGTGTTGGAAGGGACCTCTAAAGCTCATCTAGTCCAGACCCCTTCCCATGAGCAGGGACATCTTCAACTAGATCACGTTGCCCAAAGCCCCATCCAACCTGATCTTGAATGTTTCCAGGGATGAAACATACACAATTGCTCCGGGCAGCTTGTTCCAGTGTAGGCAATAGTCATTTTTTTCCTTTCTGGTATGAAATATTAAGAAATCCCTTAAATATTAAAAAATAATAAATCAGTTTCTAATTCCTTTTTATACAGAATCTTTACTTTCTCACGTTCTTACTTGAAAGGCTCCAACCTGAGCTTTATGTGGGAGCTCTGTGCATTTGCCCTTCAATATCAGCCCTCCTCTAGACTGCCTAAAAGCATCGCTACCAACTCATTAGTCACTCAGTTAAAAACTTGGCCTCCCTCTCCTACGCCTTCATTAGGACATTTCCTCCTCCCTAAGAAACCCTTTGCTTTCTCACTGCTGCTAGCAGGAGAGGTAAAGCAAAACCATCACTCTAGCTTAAATACATCCAGGAGGAGTCCATCAGGAGACACCAGAGGATTAGGCAAGGCTGGTGTTTAAATCAGCCCCCTGCACTCTGAGCCTGAAAACTGCTGAGGCTCAGGCTCTGCCTGGGGGTCAGACCACTACAATTAGCCAAGAGGGTGGCACATGTAGATTAGCTTTAATTGCTCAGTCTGGTTTCCAAGGTGCTTCATCAGTGCTGTGGTTTCTATCCAGAGTAGCTTGAATTGAGGTTGGAGGGAGTAAATGTTGCTAACCCCATAGCAAGAGCAGCAAGTGAGGCTTGGAGCTTGAGATCTATGGGCGTGCTAGTGAGAGGAAATGCTGTACAGTAACTGGACAGAGGAGAACTCCAGGCTTAGCCATTGCTATCCAGAAAGGTAGGAATACGAGTAGGTTTTATATCCAAAATCCAGGTCTAAAACTGTATGATCAGATCTCTGCTGTGTTAGCAGTCTGCACAGAAACTTTTCTTGACCCAATGAGTGGTAGCAAAATGATTCTGTTCCTCATATCAATACTTTAAATATTGTGGTTTGCAGCATGCATGCACTGCCAGCCACCCTGCATAGGTTTTCCTGGACTTTTGGAGGATTTAAGACCTGGTTTCCTTTACTATGTGGGCAACACCAATAACTTCAAAACCTGTTTCGGAGCTTGGCCTCAGCTTTCTCACCAAAATGATCTATTTTGTGGGGAAAAAGCAGTGGTATTTAAATGCACAGGCTACTATTTTGGGAGAGTTGGGAAAGGGTGGAAGACAGGAAGCAGCCTGAATCCTAAGGGAAGGACACGTGGCAGGTCCCTTGCCAAGGAGCATCACTGACCCTCTTCTCTTTGCTTTCCACAGGCCCTCCGGGGAGGCGAGGGAAGCCCGGCCGGCGTGGAGAACCAGGTAAGCATCACCATGCACCAGTGATGACACTGGGTACCACATGGGTGTCAGTGGGAACCTTTTGGTAATGATGCTGGTCACCTTCATCTGACGGGTCATGGAATGGGGGCCTCCCACAGCCCTGCATGCTGGATTTTTGTATTTTATATATAAAATATGCATGCAGAGGTTTTTATAGCAAAAAAAAAAAAACAAATTGAATCCAACTCAAAGCATTCACTGATGCTTCATATTTTATCCATGCTATTGCTCCCTCTTGGCATTCAGACCCATGTTATCCCATCCAACAGTGAAGTGGGACTGTGAATTAGCACACAAACATAGAAACCCCCCAGCCATGCTAGGTCTGTCTTGTTTCCTGCGTGTGGGATGAGCCCATGTATTTCCTGATAGTCCCATGCGTGTGATGGATGCTGTTTAAGAGCTGGGGATCACCAGGCCTGGGCACAACCCATGAGCGCTCAGTGCGCCTTCAAACTGGGTGAAACCACAGGCAGACCTCACTGGGAATCTTTATTTGAGCTGTTTAATTTCATGCCTCTCTCATTTTGGTATCTGGTGGGTTTGTTGTTTTCCCTGCCTTGTGAAATGGGAAAGCACCGATCCCATTTCAGCTGGGCAGAAGTGCTGTTTACGTTCTGCTGTTAGGGCTGAAGTGCTGTTGGAGAGGGGAGAGATGTGGTCGGCATTGCTCTTTCTAAGGAAAACAGGCAGGAATGTACCTAGAAAGCCACATGGATTTTGCAATTGCCTCTTGCATGTTGCAAAGCAGCAGATGGGATTTTACACTCCTTGGATCTTTGGTTCTTGAATGTTGGAAGAATGAATGGGGACCGTGTGGATCTTTATTTAGCGAGGAGGCTGTTCTCTGCCGCCTGTCACTATAGCAAATACAGGGCTGGGTTTTCCAAAAGGGCTCCATAACTTTCTCATCACCAGGATTTTAAACACTCCTTTTAGCTCTGGGGACATCAGGGGGTTTGTGCTGTGGACCACAGGCTGCTTCCTGTACAAGGGAGGCCTTTCCTTCCTCTCTTCCACTGGTGGTATTTCACAGTGCATTATGTGTTCTCTGAGATACTTTCTCTCCTGAAGCATCAGGGATTACTCATGGCCAAGGGATGAGTATTGTACTTGGGATGCTAATGGCTTCCCAGCCAGCTTCATTAAACCCCTTTCCCTGGCAGCTGGGCTGTAGGAATAGCCCTCAGGTAGCTTTGATTCTCTTGTGTTTGTTGTCTTTCAAGTGTCTGAGGGCTTTAAGGAGTGCAGTGAAGATCAGCATTCAATCAAGGGCAGCTGGTGAGGTCAGCCAAGGAATTTGGGGTTTATATGCAGGCATTTATGTAAACATTGTCCAAGATGTCCCTCTGGTCCATACAAAACTTGGGGAGGTAGCACTGAGCTTGGGTATGCCCTTGCCCTTTGTTCCCTGCTCCCTGTTTCACACAAGAGCTTCTGCAAAGCAGTTTCCTGTGACCAAGTGCCACTTGAGCTGAGCATCCCTCTGACAAAGAGGGAAGCTGCCAGGGAATCAATGCAGGCCCAGCAGGAAAACAGGCATTATAAAATAAGAAGAAAAAACTCAATCATTACTAACAACTGATGATCTTTTTGAACTCTCCTGTGATTGCGGAGAGGAAAATCAAGGACACTGCAGCAGATACAAAGAGCACACACAGGCACTCTCAGTGGGGCACATCAGTTAAATCCATCTAGTGCAATGCAGCCCTATGGATTCCTCTGCTGCACTGCAGATAGGAATGGGGAGAGCAGACGTCCCTCTGTATATTGGTTTTGGCCAAGCTGCCAGATGTTTGTTTTCTCAGATAGCTTGAATATGTATTCCTGTATTTGTTTGAGAACCTGACCACACATAAACCAGGTCCTTGTTCCTTCGCTACAGCTGATAAACGTGAATAAAACCTTGCTTGCATAGCACCATAGTGGCCATCCCCAGGGACTCTGCGTGGTTATTGCTTTACAGCCTCCAGACAAGTGCTGTTGTAGAGCCAGAGGCTCAGGGCTGCTCTCAGCACTGCCAAAGGGAGCGTTTTCTCTGGCAGTGGTTGAAATGGTCATGTTGAAAAACTTTTGTTCTGATTCAGATTGGGACTTTCAATAGCGAGCTCTTGGAAACAAGCAGAGAAGCTTTTAAGAGATCCTTTTAAATCACACCCTCCTCCTGATTGAAAGCAAGGCTGAATTTTACTGTTTTTTCTTTTGCTGTGATGGATTTGGGTAAAGAAAAGATGAATCCAACAGCTCTGTTTCTCTAAACTAAGAATTCATCATCCCGAAAGCCTGCTGAGACAACAGCTCTTTACTGTAGAAAGACACCATGCCAAAAAAGATTTGTTTTTATACTTTTTCTTAGGGGAAAAAAACAGCTATTCGGGCTGTTTGGAAATGGGGAAAGCCTGGCTCTATGTGCTCCAAAAAGCACTTGCTAAAACATGGGGGTGAACCACCATTGCTGCCTCCTGATTCCTCCCCCCCCCCCCCCCCCAAGGCAAGCAGTGAGTCCCATTGAGGCCCTGCCTCTGGGTTTGGCTTGGTTTATGTTGTTGTAGAGGATAAATACAGCAACTTTTCACCCTCCCCAGGGAGCCTGTGGGCAGAGGGGGGCTGGCTCAAACCCCAGTCTTTGCTTGGGCTTCATAGCTCTGGTAGCAGCTCAAGCTTCCTATGGTGGCATGGATGTCACCATCATCTCTTCCTTGATCTTAGGTCAGATACCCTGAGAGCATTTCTGCTGCTGTCAGCCCAGCTAAACAAACCAGGGAGTCATTTGAGTCAAAAGGCTCTGTCTGACCCATTTTATTTGCTCTTGTCATCATCTGGTCCCATGGAAATTGCCTCCTCTGTCAGGGAAACAACAGCACATGTGTCCTAGAGCTGGTCACAGGGATTCAGTCAGTGAGTGCTGCCAGTGTGGAAGAAATTGCTTTTAAGAACTGGTTTATTCTGCTGTTGCTATCATGAGGTGAGGGAACTCACACCAGCAGCATCCTTGGAGAGCTGTCACTCACTGGACTCGCTTCAGTTCAGTCCAAGCTCCACCCCTTCCTGCCAGGACCAATGCACAAGTCGCATCATTCTTATTCCTGCTTGAGCATCATAGAATCATAGAATAGTTTGGGTTGGAAAGGACCTTAAGATCATCCAGTTCCAACCCCCCTGCCATGGGCAGGGACACCTCACACTAAACCATCTCACCCAAGGCCTCGTCCAACCTGGCCTTGAACACTGCCAGGGATGGAGCATTCACAGCCTCCCTGGGCAACCCATTCCAGTGCCTCACCACCCTCACAGGAAAGAATTTCCTCCTTATATCCAATCTAAACTTCCCCTGTTTCAGTTTTAACCCATTACCCCTTGTCCTGTCACTACAGTCCCTAATGAAGAGTCCCTCCCCAGCATCCCTGCAGGCCCCCTTCAGATACTGGAAGGCTGCTCTGAGGTCTCCACGCAGCCTTCTCTTCTCCAGGCTGAACAGCCCCAACTTCCTCAGCCTGTCTTCATACAGGAGGTGCTCCAGTCCCTGACCATCCTCGTGGCCTCCTCTGGACTTGTTCCAACAGTTCCATGTCCTTTTATGTTGAGGACACCAGAACTGCACACAGTGTTCCAGGTGAGGTCTCACAAGAGCAGTGGTTTCTTGCACAGCTGGAAAGCAAGCACAGTCTTGAAGACCCACTTGGACTCACCTATGTAAGCAGCTGGGATATGAAAACTACATATTGATACAAGCTTATGTGGGGTTTGCAGCCTTCTCTGAGCGTGAAGTTGGGAGGTTTTGCAACACTAGCAGTTGTGGTTGGTCCCGACAGCCAGCCTGCACATCTCAGATACAGTTCTCGCCCCATGCCAAAGGCAAAATCATGTGTGATGTCATGTTAGCTTATTTATTCAACGTGATGTGTCCCCGTGAGGACACAGTTCAACTGCTGGAGTGAGCGTCTGTGAAATAACACTGATTTTAGCAAGGAACCTGGGAGGTTTTGCTTCCCTTCTTGCTGCCAGCTGGTGCTGGGTGAGCAGGATAGGGTATGGCCATGCAGCCCGCCCAGCGATTTCTATTTGTTTGTTTTCCAAGATCCATTCATACCGGGGTGTTCCTGAAGGCTGGATGAATGGGATCCAGGATTTGGGTGTTCAGTTGAAGTATTGGTTTAAAGTCTCTGCACAACTAGGTGGTGGGAGATGATGCTCATGTCTCCTATAACAGCGTGCTGCTTTCTTCTCCTGGCGTGAAGATTGATTCAAAAACTGATCTGAACTTCAAAATCCCTCAAGGAAAAAGAACAACCAGGAGTAAATACACCTGGAATGTTAAATCTGGGAAGTCTCTGAGTATGTCCCCGCTCCCCTCACGTGAAACCAGAGCTGGTTCTAGGCACAGACACCCACAGCAGATCGCTGCAGTGTTGGGTAGCACTTGTCTGCATCAGCAGAAGGGAATAAGCACAAAACGAGCCTTACAGCTGGTCCCAGAAGGGCTTATTTTGATGACATTTTCACTGGGAAATGTTGACTTGGCAAAATTGCTCTTTCTGGCAGAAAAAAAAATTGTTTACAAACCTTTTCCGTCTCAAAAACGCTTGGACAGGAAAGGTTTTGAGGTGGTAGAAATGGGATTAAAGTCATCTGCTCCGCACCCCTGATACTGATTTCCAAACTTACATTAAGCTACAACTGTTCCTTTAGTTTGAACTTCTAAGGGTTTGGATTCAAAGAAGGCTTTGTTGGGGGTGTGTTTGGGGTTTGGTTGGGTTTGGGTTTGCTTTGTTTGTTTGTGGGATTTTTGTTTTTTCATATAGCTATTCTGTTTATAGAAATGCCCCAGTTTGGAACAGGGAAGAGCTTAAAACTCTTTTTAAGGAAAAAAAAGCAAAGCAATTTCTATGCAGAGAAATGTTATTTCTCTTCCAGCCCTGCATGTACTTAAACCCTGTATTTTACACATGAAGACCCTTCCAAACCCCTTAGCCATGAGACTGTGTAAATATACAGTTGTAGTTATTCAGTAAGTGTGTGTATATGTGGGTAAATCAGGCAGAACTTTGTATTTATTTGGGGATTTTCATTGTTTCCTGTATTTCTCATGGCTAATTGTACATCTGTACCCAAAACTGCTTTGGCCTCTCCTGAACTTTAGGGGGGGAAAGAGCTAATCTGTCCCATATTTGCTCTCAATAATGAGCCTCTCTGCTAGGAGAGAGGGTTCCCTGTGCACACCAGTGGTGAGGCACAGATAGGAATTATTAAGGTCAGCCCCCAGTGACAAATACTCAGACCAACACGGAACTGATCTCTGTGACTTCTTATGATGGTAACAATTGTCCTCCTTCCTTATTGCCCATGTTGTTCCCCTTATAGCATCCTGGATTAACAACTCTGTATATATGTACATATTGTATATGTGTATATATACATATGGCTTTTAAATCATCATTTTCTGAAGTCTTCAGCTGGCCACATATGTGTGTAGCTACCTTAGGGATGGATCCTTTGCCCATTAAGGACAGCAGCCAAGTCCCCTTTGACTCCTCCTGAGCTGTTGGAAAGGCTGATTTTGTTTCTCCTGCCTGGCCATGATCTCTCCTGTCACAGCAAGCTTGCATGATAAACGATTTGCAGGTTAAAGAGGAATGGTAGCTTATTCCAAAATTCCCAAGCTGCAAAAGTACTGGAAATAGATGACTGTGACCTGTCATTTCCCATATGTTTGTGTGCTGCTGGGGATGATGCTGCTGTGACCTGCTAGGTCTTTGGATGTATGAAATAACATCAGCTAGTCAATGAGGAAACATGGGTCATTTGTTTTTAATGAGCTTTGGTTTTCATCTCCTGCTAGCACAACTGTTCATGTTCTTAAGGAATCTCTTGGTGTTTCAAATACCTCTATGCCCTTGACGGTTCAGGTGCGAGGTTCACTCATAGCAGTAGAGCAGTGACTTAGGCTGCAGGTCATGGAAAAGCACAGCACGTTTCCCTTGTTTAGAGCAAATCAGTAATAGACCAAAACCTCTGTATTTGCAGTTTATTTTGCCTTTGTCCTCTCCCTTCTGAAGTAAGCCCCCAAGTTAATTCGTGATGGAGATTTCAATGCACACAAGCTGTTTCCAACTTTTACTCATTGCCATAAGAATTTCCAAGGGGTTTCATTGCTCTTTTCAAGCTCTCAAAACGATTCTCACTGGTCAGAATTATCAGCAATAAATTCTGGCAGATTTCTCTATGAAGAGCACGTCTCTTTGTGCAATGTGCCCACATCAAGGAGATGGCCACGTAGGTGCAGCCTCTGATACGTGGTTAACTTTGGGATTTATCATTGGCTTGCAAAATCTTTGACTTTCTTCCACAGGAAACAAGTGTCTCTGGCTTGGCTTGTGAAAAAACATGTTCAGAAAGCCAGAAAGTCATGTTGTGCTCAGGAGGAGAAAACATCAGTTCAATAGGTTTAACTTTGTCTCGATGAAGACATCTTTAGCCCCATTTGGCCAACAGCACAGCTAAAGATGAGCGGAACTCCACTGATGTGAATGGAGAACATCCTATGTTGCATATACATAGAACCCCTTCATCCAACTTTGATTCCTGTATTTGAGAGGAAAGCGTTTTAAAAGAGCGCTTGCCTGCACGTGCTGGGAGACAGCAGTAGCTGAGAAAAAGAAAAGGCATCGAATTCCAAGGAGATTATTATTGGTATATGATTGAAATCCCATATGAAAATAATTTCCTGACCACTTCTTATTTAAGACTTAGTTCTGACTTTTGTACGAAAGGGGTTTCGTTGGTGGCTTGGCATAAGTGAGTTAATAAATCAGGTTTATGATTCTCAGTTAATAAATTGGCGTAGAGCCACCGACTTCTGTATTCGTAAGAAATTAAACCAAGGAAAGCGAGCTAAGAGCCCGTGTGAATTCTAGTGCTAAAGAAAACAGGCTTCTGGGCATGGAGGGAGATTTGGAGGTTGTCTCCTCCCCTGCACGCTGGCTGGGTGCTTGGCCATGGTTGTGTGCAGAGCTGACCACGTTAAGCTGATGGAGGCAGGTTAATGGGCTAATTCTTGGCTGCAGGCGCTGCCTGTTGTTACTTGCTTCTTGCTTTCAGTCCTTATTCTTAGGCTTTTCTTGGGTTTTGTTATTCAATTTTTCAAAGTCTTAATTTTTAAACAAATCTTGAAAACCTCAAAAAGACATTAGCTTGAAATATGCTTCTTGGTTTATATTCTTGAATAATACAAGATGAACCAAGTTGATATTTATTCCCCCTTCCCCATTTTAATTTTTCCCACATTTTTTCTTTTCTAATTGTGATTAGTTTCTGGTTTTGATCAGGCAGGAAATGGAGCATGAAGAAGCCCTAAACAGAGAGCTATAGGCTGCCTTGCAAACGGGAGTGAAATGTGGATTGCATTAGATTAGGGGCTCAGTGTTCACCTCTGTGTAGCACCAGCCTGGGTGAGTGGTGGGAACATTACAGAAATCGGTGTGGCAGGCAATGAAGATCCCTGCGCCACAGGGGAATACAGGGGGATTTATTATTTTTACTATTACTATTAATCATGGTTTCAGGCTGTGGCAGCAGTACCCAAAGCCTATTGTAGATGTGATGGGTTTTTCCCCCTGGCAACGTGCTTCTCTGAGCACAGCAGAGCACTTGATCAGGGGCCACATGGAGGTGAAGCAGGACTGTGGGGTTGTGTGACTTCTTCTGAGGTCAGGGAGGGATGGGGACCAAATGACAGTGATGTCTGGGATCTGTGGCAGCTGTAGCAACATCCTTGCTGGGTGCCCCTGGCACTGCACTGCTCCTTTGGCTTTTGCAAGTGTATTTCCAGCTTCCCTTGCATAGACTGAAGAAGTTCCATGGTGAAAATGCACTTTTTGCTTGTAAAATTCTAGCTGTGTCTGCTTCTTGCTGGCACTGCTCTGTGGCTGTGCATGAAGCCTCGGGACCTGAACATGAGTGATGCCTTGTGACATGCCCAGGGTTTCATGTAGGGAAAGGGAAAAAGAGTGTTTTATACCCCTTGTAAGTACTGCTGTGCTAGCAGCACGGGTGGGATGGTCCCATAATGGGAGGGTGCAGATGGTGTTAAGTCTATCTGGGAAGTCATCCCATTGGAATTGAACTGAAACGTATTGAATTGTTCTGATTTTGGTTCCTGCTTTGTGCTGTGTTATCAAGTTATACTTTTTCTTTGTAATGAAGTGACTTTTGTTTTCTTTGTTTCTTCTTTTGTTTTCCAGGACCTGCAGTAAGTATCGTGGATTTTACTGTTGGATCAACAAAGTTAAGGCTTCCCCTTCCACCCCTTCCCAGCCTTTCGGTGTCGTTGCAAAAGCACAGCATAATTTGGTAGAGGTGTGTCAGGAAGCAAAATTGGTACCAGATGCTGCTGGGCTTTTTGTTGCTGTCTTTTCATGTTTGTAGACAAATAAAGGGGGTAAAAAAAAGGTTTAAAATGTTTCACTTGCTGCCCCAAGGGACTTCCAGTAATCTTAAACCCAGAAAATACTCAGTTAAAAGATTTTTCCCTTTAAGGAGTTCTTTAGCTTGCTTCCAGTTAGCAGAAAGTGCTGTACTAATACTTTAACATGTTAGTGGGTTTATTGGTTCTAAAGCGCTCTCTTGCTTTTCTTGTCTGTTGTGTTTCCATCACTCAATTCGGATTCAGTAGGCTCACAAAGGGGGCTAGAGGGAAAGCCATAGCTTGCTTACTTCTCTTTGAAGTCTTGGGGAGAATAACAAGCATTCCAACCAATGCAATGAGACAGTTTATGGGGAATTTGTTGTTTGAAAGGGTAACAGTTGAAAATGTGTCAACTCCTCCTTCCAAATGTTCAGCCGTGCCTTTGGCTGTGCCACCACCACATCCCAGCCTGATGTTCTCCTGCTGGTTTTGGAGCGAGAATGCAGAGATTCATTTGTGCCCTCTGAGCTGCTGAGAGGTTGTTAAAGATGAAGTTATGGGCATTATGTGCTTCTGGTTTTCTACCTTCCTTCCCACAGAGGACGAGAAGAGGTGCAGGCTGTTTGCAGCCACATGTGTCCTTCTCCATCATTGCACTAAGATGTTTCTTCATGTCATTTTCTTCCTGGGTTGAAAAGGGATCGTTTCAGGAAACATAAATTTCTTAACTATGCCTGGGCTAGTTCATTTCCAGTTCTGAAATCACCTTAAAATCCAAAGGGGGACAAGGAAAGGCACGTGAAGCACAGGGGCTCTCGCAGTGCTGTGGCTTTGATTCTTTTGGGTTGGTAGCTCTGCCTGTGGGTTTAGTCAGTGGCTTTCAGCCCTTTGAATTTTTGCTTCTATTGCAAGTTCATTTTTTAATGTCAAGACCTAAGAGGAGTTTTAAGCAGAATAATTATTTTGCCAGGTTTTGAAGGAGCAAATGGGGAAAATTTGAGATTTAACAGCTTTGGCTCAACCATCCTTTGAGGAGATTTGAATGAATTTGCTCTAAAAGTTGTGCCCAGCGTTAGCAATAAATCCAAGACCCTGGCTCAAGAAATGCAGACAAATGGATTTTTCTTGTTCGTCACTGTTCAGAAACGGTGCCTGTCAATAAATTAATTTTCCTGTAAATATTCTGTAATTAAAAACTGCAGCGCAGCCTCTCCAGCCCAGAGAAAAAGTGACTCCATGGGGTTTGGAACAGTGATCGACTTGGGAATTACCGCGGGAGCACCACTGGGAGGTGACTTCCCATTGCCCGTGGCACGTTACAAGTGAAGACAACGCTGCCTATTTGAAACCCCAAATATGCATCGTTTAAGGGACGTTTTCCTCTTGATTGCAGCCCTTTGGCTTATTTAAATGGCTTTATTTCACCGTTGCGGTTCTGCTCGTGCTCAGAGGCTGTTTCCAGCCCACCCGCAGCCGGCTGGGTTCTGCTTCCTCACGTGTGCTCCCTGCTCACTTTTATTGGATGCGATTTGACATCGGCAGCATATGGCACACTGTTCGTTTTTCTTTGTCGCTGGTTGGTTTCATTTCCTGGTTCCCACGGCACTGTTGCACTGCAACAGGAGCACAGGGGAGGTTTAACACAACCAAGACCTTTCTGATTTGCCTCCTCCCCCTTTGCCCATCTTTAAAAGACAACTCCTGGTTTAGCCTAATTTAAGCCCTGCATTTTTAGCATAAACGGCGTTTGCCAGAGACCTCTTTTAACATAATATATAATAATACAAGTCCTAGAGCCCACAGAACCACAATATTATTTTATTTCAACAGGACTCTATTAGTTTCTTCTGTGCCTTGATTTTTGGCCATAAGGAATCGATTACATCTTACATGTATAGCATTGCACTCTGCTAAAACTCTATCCTCCGTTCCCTTGTTCCCTAGTAGCAGTTGTTCTGGTATTTTGTTTTTTGGCTGTCATAAGCTGGTTGTGTGTATGAAATTGTTGGAATTTGTGGGACAGGATTTGTGGCTGTTGGATGATTGATGGTCCTGTCTGTGAGGAAGGGGTATTCTGCTCAGATGTGCTATAAACCCTCTGTTTTGGAGGGTATTAAAATCACATGCTGGGTAGGAAATTTCTACAATTGGAGGATAGACTTGCCACAGACTGTAATTAAACATTTGCAGTCCCAGATATTAACAAACACTTTATGTATTAGCATGCTGGCTGGGGAGCTCACCAGCAAGCAAGGGCTGGGAGTTACAAGTGTTTCCTATTTATCTGTGTGTGCTCCAGTGCCATACATCTCCATAAAAAACCTCACTGTACACTTTATCCCGAGACTGTAATTTGTTAAATAGGTGGTTGTTGAAGGCAGTGTTGTTTCTGGCTGAATCAGTAGTGCTGCAGGAGGCATTAAAAGCTGCAGGGGCGCTTAGGAAGAGGGAGAACCCCTGTGCGTGGTAGGAAGGGGGTTGCCAGAGCTATTTCATGCCGTAAGAGATGCATGAATCTGACTGTATATCCACAGCATGCTGACATAACCTATGTTTATGGTAGCAGATGACATTGCTGTACCAGATACACGCTTTACTGCCTACTTGTGTACCAGCTAATACTTAACAGCTCCTTCCCGGGAATCTGGCTTGCAGCAGGCTCCTCTGCTGTAGCTCACGGAATGTTTAATGGCAGCTCGAGCTGTAAACGCCTTTGGGAACCCCCCCGAGGAGAGCAGAAAAGGTGAAATATCCCCAATGGGTCGTGTTTTATTCCATTGATCTTGCAGGCGTTAGTAGCAGCTTAAGTCGGGTCTTTCCCCGTAGCATCAGCTTTTCATTGCAAAGTAAAGGGAAGCTTAGAGGTGAGCTGGGAGAACTGCATCCGTGAGGAAATTAATGGATCTGAGTGAGGGAAGCCTTCACAGAGTCAAGTGCTGGGATAGGAGTTTGAAGCTCAGTGATTGCTCCTGGGCAGAAGGGCTGCCCTGGCTGCTGGCTCAGCAGCACCATCACCTCCCCGGCCTCTTCCCAGCTCCTGGGTGTTCCCATACCTCTTGGTACCGCATCCCAGGGCAGGTTTGTGGCCGGGATCTAGTGCATACCGTGCACATCCATGGCTTCAGGGGCTGAGCACAGGCAGCAGGGATGGGGTGAGCTGGCAGAAGCCTCGGTAAGTAACTGATGGAAATCTGAGGGGAATGTGCCATAGGCATGACCTTCCTGGTAGGAAATTTGCCCCAAGAGGTCTCCCTGGAGAGATGGCCAATGGCCCCATCTCCTGCCTGCTATGTGTTGTCATGCTGCTATGGGTGCATTGACTGACTTGTTATCTCCCTTGTTCCCCCACCACAGGGGCAGTCAGGACGTGATGGTTACCCGGTAACTCTGCCATTCCTTTTATGTTAATGCTCTCCTACTCTGCACTCTGCAGTCCTCTCCATCTTTTCCATGACACTTGATTTTCTTTGCCTTTCTTGATTGTTTTTTTCCCCTGCCTCTTCGTTAGTGATAGCCTTTGAGGGATTTAGCCTTAAACGTAGGAGCCTGTGCGATATTCTCCATTAATGTTTATGGGATGAAATACGTGAGCCTTTTCATGGTGTTATTCACACTCTTGCCTAAGAGTTCACTTGACTGCAAGGTTAGCGAAGGCTTTGGTGTTTGTCGCACTCATAGCTGTAGGTGGTCAGATTTGGGGACACTGGTGAAAGGGCTTCAGGTGTTGAGAGAGCTGCTGTTTTGCCCATCTCCAAAGATGTTTCCTTGGGAGCAGAGGTGTCCTGCTGAGCCCTTTGGCAAGGAGAGGTTTTGCAGAGGCTAGGAGGAAGGGTAATTCAGGAGTCACTGCCCTTCCCATGCCCATGGGCACCACTGGGATGTTACTGTGTTAGAGGGAGGCAAATAAAGCTGGTAACCTGGGGCTGTTAAAGGCTCTGAGGAGGAGGGAGACCTTGTTCTGGCCATATTCCAATTGGGCAACTATGGGCAACTCCCATAGTCCCCATGAACGCCCTTGGATGGCTGTGCCGCTCCAGCTCTGAGGGTCTCAGTGGCTTGTCAGGGAGCAACTCCTGTGCATGAACTTGGTGTAATGAGTTGGTAAAAAATCACTGTGCAGATTCTCCGTGTTCACAGGACGTTTTGAGCTCTCCTCCTGTTTTTCTTGGATGGGTGCAGTGAGTCCTGTGCTGCCTGATGCTCTGGAAGGGGCTGCTTGGGTATTTGTTCCATTTATAAGGTGAAGTAGTAAGCCACCTCCTTCTTGTGGTTAAGGCCTTTCCCCCCCCCACTTTTTTCCTTCTTTTTCCCCAAAGGAGCAGTGTTAGGAAAACTCACTCCTTGTCTCTGCCACCTCATGCCCTGGTCTGGGTCCCCCTGAATACCCATAAACCAGAGAATCATCACTTGAGGTTTTGTGTGTGATAGAGGTCAAGGGATGAGGATTGGAAGGGAAATAGAGCTGTTCTTGGTTTTCCTTTCCCCTGGATCCCTGTGAGCCTCCCTGGGGAGGACAGCAGCATTTCCCTAGTCCCAGAAGGGGGTTAGTTTTGCACAACAAGCTGCTGCTGCTGCTGCATCTGTAACACAAAAGTACTTGGATCTCCATCAGTTGATGCGAATAGATTCAGCCTCAGAGGGAGCAGGGCTGCCGGTTTCCAGGGGGTTTGTCTCCCTCAGGCGGTACCTGCTCGAGTGGTCTGTTGGAGATTAGGAGCTTGATTTATTGGGAATGAAGACGGAAGGCTTTGCTCCAATTGGGCTCTTTAATAGCAGTTTTAGGGCAGCTTTCCACTTCTGCAGGATGTGGCTAACCACTGCTGGGTTAGCAGTGCCCGTGGCAGGTTTGTCCCCTTCTTTTCTGGGTCTCTGGCAAAGCTTGTGCATGTGGTTTAGCTGCATTTCTGGCTTTCAGAGCTCGGCTGGGAGGAAACGGTGACTCTTCCCTTAGGATGGAGCATCACCCACCAGCACCGTGCCCAGCTCCTGGTGAAGGATTCTGGTGCTGCTCCAGCTCTTCTGGATGCTGTCAGGGACTCGCAGTGATGCTGCCACATCCGCACTGGGATGACGACTTTAATGTCACCTCCTCTCTCCTTCCCCCAGGACCTGTGGTCTACTACTGACTGAGCAAAACTGGCTAAGCCAAATGCAGCAAACACTGAATTACTGCATCTACGTGGCTGCGGCTACTGTAATTAGCTTTATCTAATCAAGAGGGTGATAATTGCGTTCCAAAGCAATATGTGTACCTGAAGAAGGAGGAAACTGAACATAAAGCAGGCTTGAGAGTCCTACTGAACAGGAGTATGTGGACAGGCTTTAATTTATGTATATAGACGCATACATATATATATATGGACAGGCTTTATTACATCCAGTTCTGTATTC